TCCTGCGCAGCTCACTGACATTACTCTTGGATTGACGCACCTTATCTCTTCTGGTGTTAAGCAAGAGAACATTGTCCTGATTGGTGACTCTGCTGGAGGTAACCTGATTGCTCAACTGTTGGCACACACACTCCACCCTATCAAGGTGTTCCACCCTCGCCTATACGTCGATCACCTGAGTACCCTAAACCCCTTGGAGGTGCTTGTCTTCTTTCACCCTGGCTATCGATGGACACACCCACACCATCCCATAAGACGAACAATTCTTTTGATGTTGTTTCATCAGCATGGCTTTTGAAGTGTGGCCGCCTTTATGTCGAAGGAGTTCCCAAAAACCACATTCCATACATTAAACCCAACACTTGTGGTCCAGAGGAGCATTGGTTTGCAGACCTTGACAAATATGTTTCACGTGTGTTGATAACTGGAGGAGATAAAGAGGTACTTTTTGATGATGCTACGGAACTCTATGATGGAATGAAGAAAGGCCCAAACTCGAGTCTTGATGTTGAGCTTGTGGTGGATGAAGATGGAATCCATGAGGATCCAATTTTCGAATCAATGGTACCGAAAAAAGTTGGGGGGATAAGCAAAACGACAGTCAAGGTGATCAACTGGGTTGCAGAGTGTTTCAAGCATTAATTATGGCTGAAGGCTTACATACTGTATATTACTGCCAGTGTCCACAATTGTTGTGTTCCTCAACGTCTGAAATGTGAATATTTGTTACAGTTTTGGATACCCGCTTGCCCCCCACAACCAATTTCATGGAGTACTTTTGCATCTATCTGACACAACAATGGGAGTGAGCTAAAGTGCGATGATCGATCACCATCTGGTACGGATGGCTCACTGCCATGATTGAACCGCAATGGCCGTACTTCCGTGATGAATCCGTATGTCCTTTGGCTTGAGCGTTGGTACTATGATGCAGAGTTGTTTTGTGCCTACTAGTACCTTAGTACCTAGTACTTCCGTCGCCTGCCATATCTAGCCAAATTTTCTTTCCGAAGCTTTCCGTATTATAACGATTCCCCAGGGCCCATAATTAAACCGCTCGTAGTGGTCTTTCGAAAGATGTATACCGCTTTCTTGAATTCGAAGCTTGACAGTTCTCGGGATACTTGATGGATAAGGTACTAGCACAGACAGGTTTCAATACTCTTTCGGGATTCGTGGCTAAAAGCCTTTCACAAATACGGAAATCTTTGTCGGACAGCCAAGCTGGCTCACGGGAGGCTTCGTTCGCAAAGGCTAAGGGTTAAATAGTGGCAGGATGCAGTTCCTGTCCCCCCACCTTCTGCGCCGGACGCTCTAGGAATCAGAGGATTTAAGTATCAGTCATCCTGGCAAGTCCAAGTGGAATTTGTACCGTATTCGTTGAACGAATATACGCCTCTCCTATCGTTACAATGACAAACTTCAGACTCCAGGCTCTCTTCGCAGGTTTAATTTGCGCCCTATCCTTGGCTTCTTCGGTTTTAGCTACCCCATTGTTGTATTCAAGGCGGTCGGGACATGAGGTGTGTTTCGATGAGCTTTTTCTCCTACCGCGTAGGACTAACCCTCGCCGACCCCCATCATTCCTCGTAGTTCACCCTCATCAATAAATGCAACCGGGAGATACAGCCAATATTTGCAAACACTGCATGTGGATACTCCCCTCGTCAGTATAGATCATTACGGTTTGAGAGAGCTCAAAGGATTGATTTATTATAACCTACAGGATGTGATGGGGCAGGACATTACACTGGAGCACAGCCAGACCCTATTGCGCCAGGGGCTACTGCTACTGCTTCAGCTCCTTACGCCGTAGGTGTCACCGCGTTGGCTATACCCTAAATTAATCACTTGTTTACCTCCTATAGTTCGTCGGACGAGTGTTTGACAAGACTTCAGGAGAATGTGGGCCTTCAGGCGAGGGCTGTTCTATAGGCGAATTCAACTTGGGTCAGTTGTGGTTAAATATTTTCAGGGCATGACTGGAGTTTACTAACTGAGTTTCGCAGATACTGGGAGCGCGTATACTGCACAGGCCTATGATCTTTCTAACATTCAGGGCTTCACGCAAGGTTTGTCGATTGGCGCCGCCGGATGTGATACGGTCACTTGTTCTAGTGTAAACTGCGCGGTATGTTGGCTTTTCCAAGTCTTTTTTGTAACGGTCCTTCGTGAGCTGTCATGTTGTAGTGTGATCAAGCGTATCCACCTGGTGTAAGCTACATCTGCCGTCTTTAACAGTGACAGTTGCTGAGTAGATACTTACAGGACGAGACTGGCTGTGGAGCAGATCTTCCGGTAAGGAATACTCCAAAAAGAAAAATTAGAGTCTTTGTCTGATTTGTTCATCTCATGGAAGGTCCGAGCGTGTGGTCCTGGTAAGTTCTGTTGATCTACAGGGGGAGAATTAGGTTAATTTATTGAATATAGGCAACATTGCATTCACGATGACATTCTGTCCAGATGAATGATGATAGCAGCTGTAGACAGGGGTTGTTAGAGAAGCTTGTGTCATGTATTAGATACCTGCTCAGTTCCAATTAGATATCCACTCAGTTCCAATGAAGTCCCGCGAAATCTTATGATGAAGCTTGTTCATCTTGCTTTGGCTGTCCTGACAGTTGCGCCGTGCGGGTGTAACAAAAATCACCGTGTTTCAGTTTCCACCTCAACCACGACCTTCATGATCAGTTTACGCCCAGTTTTCTTGCTTGCTGAGCACTGAACCTTCATTATTATTATTCCCGAAGATGGCCGCCCCGAATATTAGCGAAGAAGAAATTGAATCTGTCTTGACAGTCTACGAGTCTATGTTAGACTCGGAGTTAAACACAAACTGGTGCGTTTTTCTGTTCTGTTAAATGTGAACTAGTCTGAAATGTGAATTATCTTCCAGGTTGTTGTTAAAATACGGAGGAGAAAACGTACGTGACGAGTAAAGCTACTAGCCAATTCCAAAATACCCAACTTCGCTTCAGGACGAGTTCTTTCTCCATGCATCCGGAGCTAGGGGACTTCCAGAGCTCAAACAAGCATTCGAGGACCTTTCGGCGGTACATATAGCATTCTATCACGAAGAGGTACCTTCAAAACCTGGATATGTTTTGATCAATTATATTCCGCCCCAAATGTCAGGCGTACGGCGAGGTGAGTTGTTCAAGCTGTAATTATTTACCCGCCTTAATCAGCTCAGCTCGTGCCCTTGTTCAATCGCGACGTGTTGGAGCGCTGTTCATAAAGGCAAGTAGTCACGTATTTCTATTTATTAATCTTTGTCTTGACGACCATTGTTCTTTCAGAGCGAACACTCTACACTAACTATCGACCATCTCTCCAATCTCACCCCATCTTCTGTACACCAGGCTGTTCTCAAACCCGACGAAGTGCACAATATCCGAATTGAACGTTCTACTTCATCTCCAGACCCCACCATCACCAACTTTGATCCATCGACGACATCAGATCCAATGATTCATCTCCATAGTGTTCGTCGCTCCTTCACGGAAACATACAATCCCAAAGTAGTTCCGCCCGATTATTCTTCTTCACCGCACAAATCGCAGAGCTTATTCTCCAGCATCTTACGGCGCAGTCGTAACAAGACTGAAGATGTCCCCTGGGAAAGTGACGACGATGCCATCTCTCCTCCTCCTCCTCCGACACCGCCCAAGGTTCCACCAAAGGACCAGGGCCAGAGCCAAATCCACTCACCCCCCTTACGATCCAGAGCCGTAACTAACCCAGAATTCAGGAGCAGTCTCGCAGAGTTTGCTTTCATATCACATCCTATACAATCCTCAGATGACGAAGTTCTCGTCGAACATCCTAATTCCCCCGCTAAAACCTCCATCGACAAACCCAATGGCGCCCTGTTTTCCATTCCTATTGACCGGAAATGGGTTCAGGATGCGGTATCCATTCCCGATCCAGAGGAGCGTGCGCGGAGACGACAGATTGCGCAGCAGCAGCGCGCGCGGGAGGAACGGAGGGCGCAAGCTGAAGAGGCTGAGCGCCAGGCACGTATAAAGCAGGAACGAGAAGAGATGAAACGACAGGAGGAGGAGGAGGAGGAATGGCGGAAAGCAATGCTAGAACAGGAGCTCCAGGAAATTACCGCTCAGCGACGTGCTGTAGAACAGAGGGAGAAGGAGGAAGACGAAAGGAAAACGCAGGAGATTGAAATGAGGAAAGAGCAGGATCGACAGCGAAGGATACAGGAACACGAGAAGCTGGAGAAATGGCGTCAGCAGTTGGCTCGAGAAGCAGAGGCGGAGAAGAGAAAAGAGGCTGATGACAAGAGGAAGATGGACGCTGAACGAAAGACCAAGGTGCAGGATATGGTCAAGGAGGTGAAAGGAGAGATGAAGTCGAGTGGGTCGACGACCGCATGGGCTACTATACAAACGAGTGACTCTCTTGTGTGGCGGAGACGGTACATCAAGCTTGTAGGGAGCAAATTCTTTTTGTATCGAAGTCCAAAGGTGCGTAGCGTGCTTGTACATGTTTTGTTTGGAAGCTCACTATAGAACCACCAGGACATGAACCAAGTCCTTGACGAAGTGGAGCTGCGTGGTCAGATAGGCGGTCTACGGGAACCTGACGAAGGTTTCGAGGAGCTCAAAGCCATCAAATATTCGTTTGCAATCGTGTTCAAGGACGGTCGCGATCCGTGGTCTGTCTTTGGTGATACGGAGGAAGAGAAGGTGCGATATACATCTATTGTGTTTTACAATGCTCATCCATACTTCTTAGATAAAGATGTTGGGGATGCTCCACTACGCGGCTGGCCTATAAGAGAACGAGAAATAGCTCGACTCTTTGTACTGCCAGTGTCTTTCTATGTATTCCATCATACCTTATGCTTGTTCTCGGACTATGTTATCCTATATGTAGCTATGATTTATCTGCGGAACTTTGTAGTGTATTCTGTATAAAATAGCTAAACAGCTCCAGTTTAGAACAAGTAGAGATAAGATCCATGCTTATTCAAAGGTTGTATCGCTTCCTTAGCTCAGTCGGTAGAGCGCGAGTCTCATACGAGGTATGAGATTGATTGACAATTATTATCTCGAGGTCGCAAGTTCGAGCCTTGCAGGGAGCATATAGCAAGAATGGAAGTGGAAATGGAGGATGATTGTTTTTGTTCGGATGGAGCACGGAGGAATGACTTTCAGTGGGAGTCCCCGAGCAATCAGAGCCTCTGCACTGCTTTCTTTGCGCTGCTGTAGGATTGCTCTCTGTACCGGAGGTCCTTTGGGTCAGCACCGCGGCTTCATATGGAGACATAAATCGCAGTGACTTCAAGATGTCTTTGCGGTCCTGATTATTTGAAGGAGCGATTGAGATTATTCTTCATGCGACCAAGGCGAACGAGTTTATTCAGAAGTTCATCGACTGCGACATATCATGATTTCCTTTGTAGTCCTTATCTGGCTATAAGCGTCAGCATAGAGTAGAGTGGTCAAGTTCATGAGACCTCACAGAGTGTCGCGCTGCAAGCAAGTTACAGACTTGATTTCCGGGGTACCCCTCAAGGCCTCAAGCTCACTCAGTTCTTTTACCGCTTCCTCTCCGATACACAGGGTGTCTGCGATCTCATGAACCAGCCTGTCCCTCAACCCACTTCTCGCGTAACTCTTTGGGCTCATCGAGGGCCGGAAACCAAGACTTTGTTCCATTTGTGGTCTTGATTTAACGCACGCGACTTGGAGAACACCGTTATAAGGTTCAAGTTGGCCTCGGTACTATTGAGCCTGTCCTTGGTAAAATCCTCAAGCCAGAAAGTAGAATACAGCATTCGAGACATAATCGTGGGAACTTATGATGACGCTTCGTGCAGACTCTAACTTGAAATTGTAAATTCGATTCATTTCGATTCAAGGTGACTGGGATGATCGACTTGGTTATATTGCGGAACATTTGCTTGCGAATAGTTTCCAGGTATAATCTTCCCCTTCCCCTCTCGACACAAAAACCATAACCCTATCGTTCCTCTTCATCATCCAAGATGGAAACCAACCCTTGTACTGCCGTTCCTTTGGAGACTGTTTCTTTGGAAGACTTTGCTTATATCGAGTTTATCGCAGAAGGGGGCTACGGTGAGCTAACTGTTCCCATCCGTGTGACGGCTCAATGGACGATATACAGGTATCGTGGACAAATATCTCAGTCCAACTGGCGAACTCGTCGCAATCAAGAGAGAACGCGCTCTTTCGCGAATTACTCGTCCAATACTCGACTACGAATACAAACTCTTACAGCTCCTCAAGGGGCATCCTTGCATACCGCGTGTATATGCATATGGTACAATGATAACTGAACTTAAATTTCGCGTTGTGGTTATGGAACTTTTGGGCCCAACTGTCGCAACTCGTTTTCGTCAATCTAGACAGGAATTTACCGCTGAGAGGGTGGCCAAAGTGGGTCTCGGAATGGTGTGTCTTGCAGCCATCAATCGAGAGTTTCGCGATTGTTCCCACCTCTAGCTGACTGCAGTCGAGTACATACACTCCCATGGCTTTATCCACCGGGATTTAAAGGTAAAATTATATTTTTCAGAGGATCCATGATTTTTTCTCAACTGCAATCCAGCCCGAAAACTTCATTTTTGGACGAGACGATCAGCCTAACCGCGACACTGTGCACATAATAGACTTTGGCTTTGCACACAGGTACCGGGACCGTGATACCAACGTACATTTTGCGCCTGGTGAAGCTACAGCTATGGGAACACCCCTTTATTCTAGTCTAAGCATGCATCTCGGTCAAGGCATGTATATCATATCATCTCATATCATCATAAGCTCATATCTTTACAGCCCTATCCCGGCGGGACGATCTTCAAACTCTGTCGTACATATTGGTTCGACTCATTCGTGGGTCTCTTCCATGGGAAAAACTGTCAGGAGGCACTGAGAAACATCGCAAACAGCGCATCGAAGAGAAAAAACGCTCTTGGACACCAGCAAGACTGTGTCAGGGGCTCCCCAAGAGCTTGAGCGTTTCGTGTCCCACTGCTTTTCTCTCGAGTGGAGTGGGGATCCTGACTATGATTTCCTGCGGAGCCAGCTATCTGCTATCGCCGGGCCCGATACGCCGTATAGCTGGAGTGAAGCAAGTGAAATAGAAACCACTTCTCCTTTGTCGAAAGAGGCTGACGATTCAACGGAACCACCTTCGATTCGGCGGGGCGATTTGATCCTGGCGCGTGTTTTGTGCAAAGAAAGCTTAGAATATGACCCTAAACCTAGAGAACCTGACCGAAGCTACTATCATCGTACTGGTGACCCCGAGGAATTTCCCTTTCGCCCGGCCATTGTGCGCAGCGTCGCTCGCTCCGGCGATCATCTCGAGTTAAGCCTGTACTCATTAACTAAAGACAAACTAGAGGGTCTCGGGAGTGAACGTAGAGAAACCTTCCGACCGTTCCCCTCGATACCCAGTCTGGACACTAGTGATCTCTCTGTTTACGGGACCGCTCCATCTTGCGACTTCCATACTCAGGTGAACCTGTTTTTTGAGCTACTACATTGTTTTACATAAACTGAACACATTCAATTCCACAGATAACTACTGGCATGACTCCCTGTCGGCATAACCTCCCTGATTTGGCCCTCTCAGCCATAGAACGGCAAATTGGTACAGTACGCTACGGAAGAGTATACACGACAGATAACACTGAGACAAGCACCCTTGTGAAGAATCTTCCAAAGGTTTGGCCGCATGGCGATTTTGTCCTGGAGATTGCTCCATTTGAATCTCCTCCCGATGACCACCCGGTGGTGTGGGATGGTTTCCTAGGATGGTCTCTGGATATTGGTACTGTCCAACTGAAAAGGAAAGAAGAGAATGGACAACTGATTCAGTAAGTTCTACATTTGGTCAAGTTTTGTCCTGTAGCTCATGACCGATTTTGCAGTCGTGATATTCGGAGCTATACAAAGTCAGAACTGGCGTGGTCTGGACCAGTTGGTAACTTGCCGTTGTCGTGTGAGCTTTGACCCTTGAGTTACTTACTGTCACTGCGCCAGCGTCAAAAAATATCGGGCGAAATTATCGCCGAAAGTATTGTTGTAATTACTTACCTTTTTCAATAAGAATTACGGTTGAAAAATCTTATGAAAAATACATTGTAATTGATTGTCTTTTTCTTTTGAAATTTCGCCGGTAATCTATTGTATATTTCGCTCGAAAAAGGCAATGAGATTACTTATCTATTTCCCTCGTGATTAATTAAAAATTTCGAGCGAAATTTTTACAAGGTAATAACTGGAAGTTCGGTCATGTGATCAGTATTGGACAACACTTCCTGTCTTTGAACGCGACTTACGGGATACTGTATATGTATGGCCGTGCCAGTCGTCAGAACAAAACTCCAGACATAAAATAACTACACCTCCATCCAGTTCTGCCCTCATATCCGCCTACATCAGCAATTTCACACAAATGTAAACCGTATAATTGCATACTCGGTGTAATCAAAACGCCTATACATACCCCATCATACCTTGCCAAGATTTGATCAATCATACTCGTAGTATAATCATTATACCTGATTATACCCAGTTATACATAGCTATACATTGCTATGATGGGCTGTACCAGCACTAGGATTTAGCTTATTACAAGGCCTTAAGCTTTAACTTCTTGTTGCCAAAGCATTCCGTGAAAATTTCAAGTGTCAATGATGAACTTTTACTACTAGTAGTGAACTCGAAGAGTGGACACAACATTTGAAAACAACTAAGTCAAGTGGCCGGCACTTGATGATCTCGTAAAGTATTGTCAGATGTACATCACATGACCGAACTTCCAGTTATTACCTTGTAAAAATTTCGCTCGAAATTTTTAATTAATCACGAGGGAAATAGATAAGTAATCTCATTGCCTTTTTCGAGCGAAATATACAATTGATTACCGGCGAAATTTCAAAAGAAAAAGACAATCAATTACAATGTATTTTTCATAAGATTTTTCAACCGTAATTCTTATTGAAAAAGGTAAGTAATTACAACAATACTTTCGGCGATAATTTCGCCCGATATTTTTCGACGCTGGCGTAGTGTGTACTCATATGTATGGAGGCAACGGTCACGGTCACGGAGGCCTTGTTGCGTTGCCAGAATACCGTGACGTCACGGTAAATTTCGGGCTGGTTGCTAGTTCAGGACCGTGACATGTAAAGAATCTATGAAATTTTCCCAAAAATCTCAGGTTTTGGTTGCCATTTTTTGCCCATGTCACGGTCAAAACTGGGCTTGTTGCTACATCAGCACCGTGACGGGTCACGTGACGGTTGCCTCCATACATACGAGTACAGTATAGACAATTTTCATCTAGAGCCCGCAAGCTCGAGCGTTGCAGGATGTCAAGTGTATCATTTTGATTAAATGGACGGGGCATGGAGAAGCTACTCCCATTAGCAATCCTTAGCGCCGTTCCCCGACTCCCTGAAGGATCTAAGGATCGATGTCAAAGCTCCCTTTGGAGAGTTAAAATTAAATTCGTTTATACTACAAACCCATCCCTCACATCTTTGAAGGATAGCAAAGGAATGGTAGAGATGGGCAATGTTGGAAGTGAAAAAGGCTAAAGCCAGCATTCAACCTCGACCACCGGCGACTCCCAACAGGAGCACCAAGATTGTACAAAGCGGGACTGCAAGTCAGCAACACTCCGAAAGGCATGTACTGGTAGCGGATCCGGCCAAGTCACCATTAACGACGAGTATCTTTCTATCAGTAAGACTCAGAATGATGAACTGGACATAATTATGACGCTTGAGCTTGAACGTTCGTGGCAACTTGAAAGCAGTTATTGAACCCGACTGTCTGAGGATAAGGAAGGAGTATATCCGATCGATATAAGTATCCTCTTTCCTTATTGCTTATTGAGGTCACACTTTGAACGTATCATCTCGAAGGAAGTGAAAGAACACGAGAAAGCGTTCCCGTCTCGTACAATTCTGAGCGGTTGGCTTCCAATCGTCGCGGCTATGTAAGCGTCGGGTATAAGAGAAAGAACTCCTAAATAGATAAATAATACACGCAATCTACAAATAACGAATCTAACTACGCAGTTTTCGTCTTCTTCCATCTCATC